AGCTTCGGTATTAAAGCTGGGGGTTTCAAAACGGGGAAATACTCCTCCCTCTGCGAAACGGTATTTGTCTGACTCACCATATACTACTATGCTATTTAATTCTTTAGAGAAGTTTCTGATCGAAATTCAGTGTGTACTTGTATGAGAGCGTGAGTTTTGTCCATAAGAGAGCATTGAAAAATGTAATGAAGTTTAGTGCTACTGAGTGCTGTAATCCGAGAAGTTAAACAGTTTGTTACTGTTACCGACGATGAGGAGTTCTGTATGGGAACAACCCAGCTCTGCATTGACACTCCTTACCCTACCTCCTTCCCTTCGGGAGCATTTTGTACCATTCAGGTAAACTAGTCTAACAATATCCACAAGAATATTTTCAGCCTAAAATCGGCAGAAAAATAAGAATATTCACTCTCGGCCGGAAAAACAATATTCGTATAAAAAGAAAAAGTGTAAAGAAACACGAGTTTAAACCAATCAGCGCGCCTATTTTCTAAATTATTATACACTTAATCACTGGCTCCTTCGGAAACAGTTACTTTTGTTTTCCCGAGAATCGCGATGTCTCAAAACATTACACGTTCTGTTAAACTAGAATTGGTATGCTTATAATATAATTCAATCCCTTATTCAGTTAAGCTGCCAAACAGATCACCACCAACCAAGATACGGCCGATCATGCTATGAATCCTTAGAGCCATTTTACTTTTTCGACCTTCCTTTACTTCATTACCGTGAAAAGCATGTGCTTAGATAAAGCACGTGATAATGTAGTTAAAGAAGGTCGAAAAAGTAAAATGGCTTGGAGGGATCTATCAATATTTCTCACACCAACAAAGAAAGGAGACGTTTTCCAAAGACTTACCTCAAAAATAAATCCAGACTTTTCACAAAAGGTGACAAAAAGGGTGGCCAAATTTTCGTCTGAGATGAAGTTATTTCGTGAGCTGCCATTAAGTCGCCGCCGCCGGCCCCAATGCATGACAATCAGTAGAAGATGAAGGAGACGAGGACACCGCTGTACATGAACACCGACATACGCACTCTTCAGCAGTCTGTTGGAATCCGCTGTGATGTAATATTGCTGTCTCAATAACCCTGGATAACAGAAAAATGTCAGCGTATCTCCATTTATAAGTACCCTTGGTGTATTCTTTAATGTCAACGGATTTGTCATCAAAGTGACTCCTTTAAGGATGTTCGCGGTAATTGTTTCTGAGCATCCTTTCTGCGCACGCAAATTAGACTCAAATTCACACGCCACGTCATGCATCGAGCGCGCGCTAAGTAATAAAATGAACAATGATAGGGCAGATGGCCATTGCTATAGCTTTACCTGGATTTAACAATCTTGGACGTTCGGTGACCCCTATTTTTCTTTTGATGGATCATTTTCTCTACCGATTTTCTACGTTAAGCGA